CAGCGGGGGGCGGGGATGGGGTGCAGCTCCCTGCAGGACCCCTGGGGCAGGGCCAAGGGTGCTTGGAGGCTCCCAAGCACGCAGGGGGACCCTGGGGGTGCCCCATTTCCCGCATCCCACAGTGTGCCGGGGGCTGCCTCCCCATCCCCCACCCGCCTGCTGCCACCCCTTCAATTTGCCTTAAAACCACGTGTTTTTCCCAGGAAACCCATTCTTGCTTAATTTGGGGTACGATGGGGAGGTCCAAGACCCTCGCTGCGCCCCGGCTTCGTCTTCGGTTGCATCGCATTGATGGGGTTTCTTTTTGAGGCCCCAACGACGGGACCAAGCCGGCGTCGTGAGCGTTTTTTGGGGACGCTCGGCGTCATCGTGGGATTTTCCTTCTGAACTGGTCAAAAAGCCTTTGCAAGAGAGATGTCACATTTTGGTGGATTTTAGGCCTTTTTTTTTCAAGGGAGGAAACCTCGAGGACTTGCTGCTTCGCTTGAACCAGCTCAGGTCACCCCTAGAAATGCAGGAGGTGCCGATGCGTCATCCCGGTGCATCCAGACACCGAACCCCCGGGGTTTTTTGGGGGATGGATGATTGGGTTTCCTTATGACCATTTAATTGTGCAACAGTGCTTGGCACCACTGCCCGCTCCTGAGATTTGCTGCCCTCACCCCGTTGCTTGTGCAAGGCCGGTCTTGTGCTTCATGACTTCTCTTTTTTGCAGATTTCTGGTCTGAGTTCCCGTAATGCTAAAGTGGGGCAGTACACGCCATAAACCCCCCGGCCAGATGAAACGGCGGCTTTTTTGCGCAACCTGCTGAATTTGTTAAGATTAGGGAGCGTTACTTTGCTTGGTGACGTGGGATCTTGTTGGGGAGTTGGCTTTGAGCAGCCTCCATCAAAAATCTGTCCATCTGTCTAATATAAATCCAATTTTTTTAATGTGATGGCAATCTGAGCGGCGGGTTTGTGCCCAAGGTGTTGGCAGAGGGCTGATGCTGTGCAGAGGTGCTGCATGGTATTAACTTTAACCTCAATATTTAACCTCATTTAAGAAAAAGGAACGGATTTCAATCAGTCAGACATGCAGAGGGTGGCAAAATCCAAAATGATTTACTTTGCTGCCTAACAAGGCAGAAAAATACACACGGCATGGAGACCGCATTGCTGGGGAGCGGGAGGCATGGGTGCCCATCGGCAGCAATGCCTCCGAATGGGTCCCTGTGTCTTCTAATGCTGATTTTTTTGTTTATTTTTATTTTTTTTAAACCTTAAACAGGATAGAGACACCATGTTTGCCTGCCAAAGCCTTGCAGTTCGGTTTGAAGCGGGTTTGCAAGGAGCTAACTTCATCCTGCTAATTCTGGCGGGTGGTTTGCACAGCAGCCGCTGTGCTGGATGTTAGACACACACCCAGCTTCATAATTCATAACCTTGCCAAAAACGCAGGGTTTTGAGCAAAATCCACCCAAGTCAGGACTCTTGGTCATACTCAGCAGCTACAGGGCCGTATCCTGCACCTGGCTGATGCCAGGCTCTCCAAGTGAGGTTTTTGGACCCTCCTGGGAGCCTCCCTCCCGTCTCATCATCCTAATGGCTAATTAGGAGAGGAAAATACTTGCAAAAGCCGGAGACCTGCCCCTGAGATGGGTGTGCAGGGACGGGGCAGCCGGCGTGACGGCAGGGGGGGATTTGCATGGTGCAGACGGAGGATTTCGGCGCTTGGGGGTGCTCCCGTATAGCAAGGGTGCTCAGCAGAGGTGCAGGCTGTGGGCTTTCTGTTTGGGTGGCTGCTGCTGAAAGCAGGAGCTGGAGCCTGGTGCCCTCACCCAAAAGCAGTACTGGGGCGTACGCGGGACCTAGAGCCGGGGCTGCAGCCGGCGATGCGAATTCCCATGCATTCTGACATGCGCACGGTGCTGTTTAATTCAAACCTCAAAGTCATCTCCAAATCAGGCGGGCAGCTTGGAGGAGGGAAGGGGGAAACCACTTTGACAGCATAGGCCAAGCCATGGAAAGAAATTCGGTGTTTTGTGCCTAACGACATGCACTTAGCGGGGTGTAATTGCGGCAAATAACC